ATTTTATAAAAAAAATAATTTAATTTTTTATTTTTCAGTATCAACACTAATTATTTGGCATTCGTTTTTACATTACTGCACATTGACAATTAAATTACTTTTAATTTTCATTTCATTCATTAATTAGTGGTGTGCTCGTGTTGCAATGAAAGCTAATTTTAGTGGTCGTCACTGTAAATAACGGTTTTGCTTGACATCTATATAAATAATTGTTGGCTAAATGCTGAAATTTCTACATACAAACTGTATTTACAATCACATATTTTCTATTATAATATTCAAAAACAGTTTCAAATATATTTATATATTTATCTTTGGCTTTTATGTATGTATGTATTTACACTTGTCGATTTTTAATCTTTTACTATATATTTCAGATTTTTTTCTATATTCATATTGAATGCAATCTAGAGCTTTAATTTAATATTTTTACAGCTTAATTTAAAATAATTATTTTCTAAGATACATTCCTTTCATTTCTTCGCTTTTTCATTTCCAATTCATGCTGCTGTAATCTGCTTTCCAACTTCTTGTCTGTTTTATTTTTGCATACTATTTTGCTTTCCCTTAAAATACTCCGTATATCAGTTCTAGTGCTTTAGTTCTTCTGCTCTCAGTTTTACTTAAAATGATTTTTTTTCTATTGGTTTGCTTAAAAGTATTTGTATATCTACTTAATATGCCTTAAAATGTAATCAGTTGCAGTGGTTTTTCACATTACATTTATGCAATATTTTTATTTTAAGTTGTATAGCTTTTATAATTTTTACGTGGCAGCCAAGTCGTTCTCTTCGACACTCCCCGACACACCTCTTTTCAATTATCAGTATTTTTCTCCACTTTCTGTTCCATATTTTTACTCAATGTAGTAACTGAAACTACGCTTGCGTTTGCTCCCTATAGTTTTCAATCTTAGTTACCCGGATTTTATCCAACGATCGATTGAATATTCAAGAGCCGATATCCATCTGAAAAAAATTGGTATGAAAAAGTTAAGAAATGTACTTTTATGCATTTTTGGAAAGTATTTGTGATAAGACCTTATATAAATTGGCAAGTTCCTACGACAGAACTTAGAATCCGAAAAATCGGGCTTAGACGAAGCTACAAGCTCAAGGCTTACTGTTATTAGAGCTTATCTTCGAATGAAAAACTGGTAAGAAGTTGGTTGGGAGTAACGAAGGCATTGCACCTGGTTTGCGATCTTTCGGAAGATATTTTAGTTTCTCTTTCAGATGCTCTACCTCCCCTAACGTTTTATGATTTTTTTCTGAAACTACCTACATTTTATTTACTGGCTTTAGAAGTACTTTCCATAATATCTCCACAAACACTAAAGAAACAATATAATATGAAGAGCTGCCTATGCAGGGGTTACCGGGGCTTTCTGCATAACTGACCTGCATCACTGCCCAAAGATGTGTATTACCAAGAATTTTGTAGCAAGTTCTGCTATCGGATCAAAGAAATTTGGAAGTTATAATCAGAAAGATTACGAAAATAGGGTCATCCTGAACTCGCTAAACCTAAGTAAATCAAACAAAATCTTTCTAAGGTTAGATGTCAGTAGTCGATTTCTGGTAAGTTTATTCTCTAGACGTGAATGGGGATGTCATTTAGTTGGGAGAAGGATATTACCTTTATCTAAAGTGACGCGTTCAAAATAAAATATGGCGTAGGGACGGGAGTATGCTACAATGATCTCGATACCTCTCTTTCAATCCGCCTACCAAACTAGCTGGCATCTTCAAAGCAGAAGTACTAGTTAGAGAGAAAGTCCGTGGATTTTTATTAAATAACTATGGGAAGATACAGAAAACCACTATATACACGGACAGGCACGGGCAGCCTTGTCGATACCAAGGATTAACTCTAACGTAGTCAACAACTGCAGAGGAGCTTTAAGCGCACTGGCAGTTCAATTCCACTTGTCCATAATTTAGGTTCCCGGTCACAAGAACATTTTCGCATTATGAGGTCCAACGACAGTGTTTCAAAGTCGACCTCTAACAGAGCCCATGAGAGCAGCACTCCTATCTAATACCTACCTATACAAAATTACAGTTCTATTCTTTTGCAGAAGATAGTTAAAACTATCAGGATGTGTGCTTTAAAACACATGATGAAAAAGTTTTCGTAACTTTTGTCATATTAGACCAGACTTGTTCAATTCTTGTTTATAACACAACAATACAATTTTTCAATCTTCTCTCAGCACTTCCACCTCAACTCACCTCTTTTTATCCATTTCCGATTCGGTGCAGAAATAATAATGTCGCAGTTTGGTCTCTGGCGGTATAATCTCGAAGGAATTCTTCTTGCCTGAGGCATTTGTCGACATCGATGATACCTTATAGCCATGCAGACAAGCCATACCTAGAAAAACGAATAAAAAACGGAAGATGAAATTCCAACCGAAATAGAAAAGGGAGCAAAACAGAGGAGATATGTTGAATAAACAAATAAACATTTAAAGCGCAACCAAACACAAAAATCAAAAACAAAGCGAACAACAAAATGACGTGAACACAAAACTGGAAGAATGCTTGCAGACAAAGAGTACAAATATTTTACATTAACGCCGACCGAAACACTCACCAAATGCCGTCTTACTATTAGCATCCTGATAGAAATACAAACAAGCATCCTTCAGCACACAGTAGCGCTTCGACCAGCCACACCAGCGGGAGCCCAATTTCAACAGGTAACCGAAACAATCCGGACGTGTAATGCTGCACGGCGGTTGGTACAGATTGTGTGCACTGCAGGCGGCCGAAGAAAGTGCCACGAAAAGAGAGTAGAGAAATTAATAGTTGTACAAAAAACAAAAAAAAAAAAAAAAAAACGAGATTAGAATTTCTCGGTAATTTCGAATTAAAATTGGCTAAAAAAATTGTAGACTCACCTATTATCAAGCCAGGGTGTGCCTTGTGTAGCCGCTTGCTTGAGCAACTTAATCCAACGGCTGGACAGTTCCTCTGTATCTGCGGCCACATACAATGGTATGCCTTCGCCGGAGTCAATTTTGAAGGCGTACGGCTTACCGACTTCAGGCGGGCAGTGATCAACTGTATGCTTGGCCATGATCATAGCGCCAACGGGTTGATTGTCCTACAAAGCCAAATAAAAGTATAAAACATATTAAATAAATAACAGAAAACAACATTTTCACTCACATCTTCGGTTTTGTAATAGTATAGACAGTTGTCCGGTCGCAGCGAGAACCAGCGGCGCACCCATTTTTTCGTGTTCGGTGCGCCCTTCGCTTGGCCACTCTGTCGCCACAAATAACCGCTAAAGATCGGTTGACTCGGCGGCTCTTGTTGCTCGTGCATGAGCACACCGATTGTGCGCGCCACCTCTAGCTCTAGTGTCTCACAACCGTCGTGCGCGATCTTCACCACTTCGGTATGATGTTTATCCAAGACCTCAACGCCATTCACCGATATGATTATATCGCCTACCTCGAGTCCAGAGCTCTCAGCCGGTGTTTCGGGTTCAATGGCGGCGACCACGACCGGTTTCGAGCCGTGTATGCGAAAACCAAATTCACCAGACTCACTCTTAACCACGATCGTTTTGTCAACACCTTAAAGAGAGCAGGGAGAAAAGAATTGCAGTATGGTAGCATAGTTGTATATTCTTTATAATGCAGTTTTCAAAAAATATTTTAAATTATATTATGAATAACAATATTTTTAATTAATTGTGACCCTTTTGTACCCCTTTCTCCCGCTGTAAGCTTTGAAATCACATGTGATTCGCGCGCCCATACCAAGAGCATTAATTTCAGCAGATCCTCCAGTTTGCGTCGCAAGGAATCCGATGACGAGTTTGAGGTTATTAGTTCTGTGAAGTAAATTTTGCATTTTACAAGCGATGAAAATGAAAAAAATAGCTCAAAGAGCATACCAATCATTGTACTTGTTGTTTTGACACTTTGTTTGTTTATCTTTGGTGATTTTTAAATTTTTTTTTATTTGGTGTTTTTTTACTTAACAATATTTATTTTTCTTTTTGCTTTGAAAAGGTGATTTTTCGTTTTTAGTTTTAATGGGTTTATTTTTTCTATTTTATTTAATTTATTTATGTGTTTATTATAAAATTTGCCTCGTATCCGTTATATTAATTTCTGTATCTTGTTACTGTCTTATACCTTTTTATCCATTCTTCAAGTCCATTTGCTGTTTCTAAGTACCTTTTTGTTCTGAACAAATTGTAATTATTTCTACTTTATCTCTCGGAACAGATTATTGTTTCATAGATCACAAACATATTGTTCTGACAAATATGTGTATATGGTTCTATGACTAGCAGGATCAGAATAATGCGACAAATTAACTTCTTGTCTTTCTGACAAACAGTTCGTCTTTTTTGAAATTCTGATCCATAAAGTTCCGGACCGTTGCAAAAGCCAATACCTCAAAACGTTCTTTAAACGGAGTACCCAGAATTACCGAGAAAACCACAAATATAGTAGACACCTCGGTTTTGATCGGTCAGTTCCATATCAAGCACTTGGTATTGACGGATCCAGCAAAAAAAGGAGGTGTGCAAAGAGTCGATATCTCAGAAACTCTGGGACTAGTTCGAGTATATAAAGACAGATGATCTTGAAAAGTTCCAAAAAGAGCGGATGTTTTCAAGTCAAAATTTTGTTCTGCGATAAGGTCCATTTCTGGATCAATGGGTGTATAGTGAAACAAGCAATATTGCGGCGCCACTTCCCACACTTCGCATCCGTCAATGGATATATTAAGAGAACACTTCGGTTAGCAGATGATTTCACGTTTTGGGCCTTTCGATTGGTCACCAAGATCGTGTGATACCTCACCCTTAGTTTTTTTTTCTGTAGGGATATGTATAGCTTAAAGTCTATGCGGACAACCCCACATCGATTCAGGTCATGGAGCAAAAAATCTAGAGTATTATTCGCCAGTTAGCAATCGAAATGCTCGAACGAATCATAGAAAACTGGACTCAACGGATGGATTATTTGAGACGTAGCCACGGCCAACCTTTTAAAAAGATAACCTTCAAAAAATAAATGCCAAAGAATGTTCTTTCGACTGATAATAAACATTTTCCATTATATTTGAAGTTTCTGCGTTTTTTCTTTAAAAAGTAGGAAACCTCAAAATGAATCACCTTGATAGAGTCTTTCGCGTTCCCTTTGGGTGCTACAAACATCGTAATAAACTTAATATACCATGAATATTTGTAGGGGACTTTGTGATTAAATTTTTAAATTTTTTCTTGAGAAAGTAACATGGCGACTGTGCAGTTGCTTATTGTACAGATCCGCGATCAAAAAAAAATTTTTTTTTTTTTATTTCAATTATAAAGATTTCAATGAAGTCCCAAAATATAATAATAGCAGCTTAGATTTTCAATTTCAATACAATGTTCCGGTAGACTAGATAACTATTACTATAAATTCTATATTTTCACTACGCATTTTATATTCCTATGAAAATCTCCCGCTGGATATACATAGGTAACTTTACTATTGAGTAAGGTTTTTTCACTCAGCTCAAAGTGAAGATCATTCAAAAAATGTTCCTTTAGTCCCAGCCGGCTTCAGTTAAAAAATTATATTTCGGATATTAAGTGAGATATATTAATGATACTCGGTAGACTTGTTATGTATGGTCTTAAAGTGTTGAACGGAAACGAAATTTTCATTAAAAATTTTTGCAAATGAAATATTCCACTTCGCATGCCTACAATTTTACTAGTTGCGAGATATCTAATATTCGACTAACTTCCTCATTTATTTGTGCTGGAATTAGAGAATTAGAGGTTAAGAGCACGAGATTTCCAAAAAAAAAAAAAAAAAATATTCGTACGCACTATTAGTTGTAAAAATTTCTCTAGCACTTTAGTATTTTGAGATTTTTCGAAATTTATCTTCCGACTTTTTATCACTATACGAAAAGCACACTATAAATTTTCAACACTTTTATATACATATATTTAATTGTTATTTTTTAAACAATTTGTAAGCAACATAGTGTATTCAATTAATTTCGCAAACAATTTCACCGCAAAAGAACGCACAATTCCCAATTTCGCCCTTTCTCGACACTCGACGCCTTTGTCAATGAACCACTGACCGCTCGACCGCCCGATATCTATACGTAACTCACTCGCCACGGTGCCTTGGCTCGCGCGCTAATTAATCTTATAGACTATTTTTAAAACGCACAATCAAAGTGTATAGGGCTCTAAAACACAATGCCGACATTAGAAGCAACAATAACAATTACACATGTTTTGTGGCGAAATACAACTCAATCACTTTACTTTTGCAAAAAAATGGCTTCCTATAGTACATACGGCACGCAACGCACGTTTACACGAAACAAGTGGCCAGACGCTACTACACGGCTTTACGCTCGCACATTGCGCATTTCGAAAATTTCTAAATTCACGTCACACATTTTCCTACTAAAAAGTTGTTTTTGTAAATGCTCGAAAATTGTATTTTGTTCGTTAGCGCTCACGATTGCTCAGTGTTTCGTCTGCACGTCGTTCCAAAATTAGATATTCGAAGTAGATAGCAACAATGTTGCGAAATTTGTGCGACACGTGCTCTAATCCATTTCAGAATCGGCGAGAGATAATAATATTTCGCCGCTACAATTGATAATTCAATTAATAGTTGTGGTACAAAAATCTAATTTCGACTTTCGTGGAAGACAAAAGCTTATATCGCATTAAGTGGATATTCCAGTTCAAAAAAAAAAAAAAAAAAAACAAAAAAAGATTTAACTATTTAAGAATATGTCTGCATTTTTTCGGTAATTCAAATTATTTTGCGAGCGCTGCATCGAAACAGGTTCGGCGTGAACTGAAACACGCTACCCACCATTGCCAGGACTTATTTATTCGTATTTATAGACTTGTCTAAAGCTGGATCTAGCTATAACTCCAAATTTAATTTTTCTCTATTTTTAAACCTTAAAATAGTTAAACAAGTGATAGAATAATTGGTTATTTCTAAGTTCCAGACATTGCGTCATTATTCTAGATTAATAATTTTTTAAATTTTAGACCCTCTCAAATTGATTAAGGTATTTTCCGATATACATATGTAGTATAAAGTCATCGGAAGTTCAAAAATCGTTAGGAATAAGGGGGCTAAGTGGTGTATTGAACCGAATCAACCTATTTGTAGCGTACAGACGTACAACTATCAGTGAAGGATTTTCACTGAATTTCAATCACATATCTCACATATTGACCGATTTTTTCGGTAAAAAGTCAACTATAAGCCCTGGGTCCACACGTTCAGACATGCTTCCTGCTATAGCGATCCCCTATGCCAAATTAGAGTTTTATATCTTAATTTAGTGTTTAGGTATGGTACCTTATACGTTTTCGAATAATGTCGATTTGTGGGCGAGGGACAAAAACTCGAGGTAGAAAATGTCTCAATATTCTGGAAAAATTCGTTTTGTGGTAGAAAACTATTGCCTACATTTCGGAGCAATGCTTAAACTTTAAATATAAGACTGATGGATCTTGTTTTTTTTTTTTTATTTTTGAAATAATTTATTGGTCCCAATACAAAGCTATTGAACAGTCTCGGCTAGACTACAGAAGACGAAGACATTTCAAAGCTTTGTGTTGTTTTATCTTGTCAGTTAAAGTTCTTCTAAGATTGGTGGAATATAAAGTACGTGAGCTCTTTTTACTTCATACATAACTTATCTAAAAAAAAATCTTAAATTAATATCCATTCTTCTTCTTCTCTTTTCAGAATACGATAACACTGGTGAGTCATATTGCTATAATTTTGTTACTTCTCATTAAAACATTTAGTATTTTTTGATTAATACTTTCTTATGTTAAAATTTAAGTTGAAAATTTTATCGACGAAGCGCTTAAAGTTTGTAATTTCCAAGCATTGGGATTTTGTAAGATATGTGTGTTACTCACTATAAATCCAACAGATAATAATCCTCGACGCGGTTTTGAATGCCTGGTAATTCAATCAGTCTATAAATTTAACTTTCTCTCTAAAAGCCGCCCTTCTAGGTAACGGAACGTCTAGGGTCTTATGGTTGGAAATCTGAGATCATTCATGTGCAATTTTTTCGATCGAGTCAAAATATTGAACCGACTAATAACACGAAAAGTTACTGAATACTATTAGTTGACTTAGTAAACAAAATTGATTCATAGAGATTCGTTTCTTCCCATCACAACCAGTTTACAATCAAGATTCGGTATTCCAGTAATTTTCTGGAGCTGGTTTCAAACCCTACTACAATTGTAAGTGGTTAGGTCTCTTTTCATTGATGAAATCTCTTACAATAAGTTCTAAGAACTTACATAATTCAACAAGTTGGTTGAGAATTCCTGGCATATTTCATACTCTTGGGGAAAACCCCAAAAAATGAGACGGTAATAGCCTACAATAACCTATAAACGCACCCGAAAGAATCACTGTTTTTTTACGACATATACCCACATATAATTAAACTTACGAAAATTATTGTTCCGTTGGCGATGATACATTTCCAAGGTGCAACGTCGCTGCACCAAACGATGCAGTATGACTTGATACTTTGAGTGAAAGCTGCGCTCCGACTCCGTTGACGGACGGCGATCACGTTGGCGATCTGCGTGCGAAATAACGAAATGAAAATGAACATCATACAACAAACTCATAGAACACGTACCGAAACTTTGGTGATTTAACTGGGTCCAAACGTCAGCATCGGTGAGGCGTGAATAACGCGCAGGATCGTAATGACCACGATAAATAATCTGCTGGCTCTGCTCAACCGCTGCATCCGGCAGTACACACGGACTCGAACCGGCTGGACGTAAGCTCTGTGGACTGCGTGAGTGTACGCTTTCGCGACTGCGTTCTTCGCTCTACAAAAGCGATAAAGTATTATTATTGCTTTGAGCTCGTTTTGTAATTACCCACCTTTGCGCGTATATTCTCCTGCCGTGTCTTATAATGTCGACCACGTTCGCCTGCATGATAACGCTCCTCAGATCGAAAACGTTTGTCCATCTTCTTATAGAGACGTTGCGTTGTTTTCGCAGTTACCGGTGAGTCGGCGAAGTCCGACGGCGGTTTTACAATATCCTGTTCATGTTCATTTCCCATATAAGGCAGTGATTCGACAGAGTCGCCAGCCAAAGTGCTTATATTTGTAGTCTGACCCTCTGTACCCTTACCACAGTGCAGACAATGACTATGTGGCTCCTGCACGGGACCATCAGCTTCACTGTAGAACACCGAGTCAGAACCGGGCGAGACGGAACGTAGAGACTCTATAGATTTCGCTTTCAGCTGACACACATCTGATGCAGACTTTGTAGTTTTGGCGGCCACAGCTGCCGTGGCAGTATGCGGCGTTGTGATTTTACTCGTCTTGCACTCCGTTACATGTATGTCTTCACGCTCCTGCTCCTTCTTAACACTAACACTGTAGTCCAATAGTTTCTCGGCGCTACCCGCTGTCGGCGGCAAACCATACAAATTCACCAAATTCTTTTGTCGCTTCGGGGTGCTATCATCGCGTGAACTCCGTCTGAATTGACGACGTATCTTTGGACGGAAACGTTTAATGCGATTCGGACTTGTAGTTTCAATGGCGTGCCCACTAGTGGTGGACTGCTTCTCTGTTATTTTCTCTTTTGTGGCTGCCGCTACCGCCGCAGCTATAGGCGTGGCGTGTGCGCCGGCCATTGCGGATGCTGGCTTCTTAATCGGACTAGTGAGCGCGCGTAAATTCTCCTTTTCGATGTCTAGTTTCATTGTCGTCTTACGGCGTTTACGTTCCTCATCGAGACGATGACGTCGTGACTTGATCACATGATCATCATCATGTGGACTCTCATAGTAGCCGGACGATGAGTAGCGTACCTCACTACGTTCATCATCCGATATGGACTCGGGTTTGATGCGCGGCTTCTCACGTACAGCGGACGGTTCGACGCTGGCAGTTGGCGCACCGACACTTTTTACGTGTAAAGCTTTGGTTGACGACGCTGTTGCCTTCTCAGCTGGCTCCACATGCTTCTCCACATCCTTCGCAGATGGCGATGGTGTTGCTAACCCAGCGATATTATAACTACCTGACGAGGTGCTGCTAATCGAGTGCGAAGGTGAGCGTTTCGCCTGCTCTGCTATGGGCACAGGTGACTTGAGCTGCAGCTCGCGCTCGAGCTTATGCGGTTTTGTGGGTTTTTCATCATGCTGCAGTATATCCTCGGTCAGCACTTCACCGCGCGTTGAGTAGAGTGAAGAGGCGCTCTCAAAGGATGAACCTTGCGTACGGTCAATCTGTGAACTTTGTGTTGACACTGCGGGGTTATGAAAAAAGAGACAAAAGAGAGGAAGTACACGCTTAGTTAACGTACATATAGAATGCCTCAGGGTGGTTACACTCTAAGCGAGCATTGAACTAGGCTAAGAAGCATTACAGACACATACTTGGTTTTGTTTTTCTTTTGTGGTTTAATTTATAGAAGCGTTCATCAAGCAACAACAACAAATACCATACGAAAGTACTTAAATGCATATACACGCAATCAGCTAAGGACGTTTACAACAACACAAACATGTAATGTAACGGACTGTATGAGTGTATGTAAGAGTGTGTGTGTGTGAAGAGAGCGGTTAGAGGAGAGCACAGCTAAAAGGCCTAATCGCTTGCGTGCGCGAGTGTGTGTGTGACTGTGTGGGCTGTTAAGTGCATACAAATAAGTCAGAGGATTATGTGCGGATTGGTTATATGTGTAATCTTTCGATGATGGATTGGCAGCCGCTGAAAGATGGATGGATAATGAATAAGTAGCTAGTTTACGGTTAGTGTACGGTTGAGGATGATATGCTGACGGTGATTGGTGATGAGCATGTAGGTGATGATGATGAAGGATGGTAGTTAGTCGGTAGGAAACTAGTTACGTGGTTGCTCGTGTCTTTCGTGTGTGCGTGTCTGTGTGTTTGTTAAGCAGCAAGGCACACTAATCTATTGATTGACTGTTCCATTGACACTTGTCGCTTTCAAACCTGGTACTTGTGTCGTTGATGATGAGCTTGTTGTTGTTGGTGGTGTCTTAATACCTGGCGTGCGCTTCGACGTGTCTGTACAAGTGGCATACTCGTCGGTATTCGTGCTGCACTCCGACACATCTGTGGTGTTATTGAACTTGTTGTTGCTGTTGTTGGTCAAAGTAGCTGCGACGGTCATGATCGCGTCGGTGGCAGCACGCGTCTGCTGCACATCCGATGTACGTCGTCCATCGCGTGTTAGTGTGGGTAGCTCTTGCACGACACGTTTACTCGTGCCCGGTGATTTTTTGGGTGAGATCTCTTTAGCCAACGGTAGACTGGGTGTGACTGCGATCGAGGGTGTGGTGATTTTCTGCGGCACCGTTAACGTGGTCGATTTGGGCTCGCGACTCGCTTGCGGCTGTTGTGTGATGAGCGCGCCGGATTTTGCGCTCTTAGCGGTGGTTGGTAGTGCGTTCACCACAATGCCATAGGTGGGACTCTAAAAGGAATGTTAAATCAATGGTGTTATATACGCTATATACAGTTAGATCGCTAAGCTCACCAAATCCACTTGTGTGTCTTCCAAATCCAAAGCGTCCGTATCCACGGAGCTGCGTTGTTGATGTTGCAGCAGTAGATTTTTCCGTCGCGTCGTTGGCGTCAGCAACATATTCGCATTGGTGTATGCGCCTTCGGTGCCTTCCTTCGGCGGTTCGGCAGTTAGTACGGTAACCTGTGATTCATTCCAAATGCCATCTGAGTGATCGCGTGTTACGTCGTTGGCCAGCGAATCTGAGGATGGATAAGTAGATGCATTTGCGAAGAGCAATTCCTCGCGACACGGGCTTGGTGGCGCCGAGATGCCGTTACCTTTTTCGGGCGAGACATTTTGTTCGTCCAAGCTCACAGAACGCTTGCGCATGCTGGCGCGTCGTTCGGCTGCCATACTCGGCGCATTTGCGGGCACATTCTCGTATAGTGGATCGTGCTGATCGCTTTCTTCTTGCTTGGCTTTTTCATCTTCCATATCTGTGACCTGTTCCGGCTCAGCCTCATCCTCGTAGTCATCATCACTGATGGAGGAACGCGGTTCGCTTGCTTGTAGTGCGCGACAGTTTTCACATTCTTCAACCGCTTTCTGTTGTTTGCTTTCCTCAAGTTGCGCTACTGTTGGCGGTAGCGGCTTATAGATTGGTCGGTATTTAGCTTGCGGCATTTGTGCGCTCGCTTTCATCATAACATTTGGTTTGAAGTCAATAAAGATCTCTTTCTCATCACCGGAAATTTCCTCACTACCGCCTATCACCGGCTTCGGTTTAATCTTCGAGCGGAAAGATGTGCGTGGACCGAAACCATCAATCAGTTTTTCGGTTTTTACATAAATAGGCATTGACTGACGTCGTAAGTCATCGCGTCTGAACGGTGTAGGTGTAATATCGGCGTCTAGTGGTGGCAATACGGCTACCATAGACTTACGTCGACTTGTATCTACAACTTCGGGTTCGGGTGCGGGTTCCGCTGTCAACGTGGAAGTAGATGTCAGTGGCTCGTCGGCATCTTTACAGTACTCACTAGGTGGTGGCAACAAATGCGGCTTAGAGAAATCAAGCAAACCGCCATTACCACCATTAACACCGCCATTCGGCTCACCCATCAATTCCGTACACTCGGTTATGTGTTTACATATCTCATGTGCATGCAGTGGTTCACGGCGCGGCAGACTATTCGAGCTGAAGCTGCTCTCGCGATGAAATGTGCAAGCGCGGCGTGGCAAGCTGTTGCTCTCGTAGTCGAAAGCGAGCACGTCCTTAGGAAAATAGGGCATACTCTCCTCCGAGGGCAGTTGTGACGAGCGATGACTGTAATAGGAAATTGTGTCAAGCGGTGGCGGTGGTTCGTAGTAATTAATATTGTTTGGATCGCCGAGCTCCAGCGGTGACTTTGGCGGTTCCTCCGACTGCGTGCGATAAACAGCGTTATGATCGATAAAGTTTCTAAAAATAAGTCGATAAAATATTAGAATTTATTAATTCGTCAAAAAATTTATATGGAAGCGAATTCTAAAATCTATATGCTCCTGTTGAACTTACCTGATTTGCCTGTCATCTAATCCAGGTAACAATTTGCCATTCGGCATTTCCGACAAACTTTTTGCAAGCTTCTTGCCATTCAGCAGCCCATTCGTTTGTGCGCCTTGTGAGACCACCTTCACCTGTAGTACAAAAGATGCAACATTACACTTCATCGAGCTCAGCACTTCAGCGATTTACCAACCTTATGCATGGTGCGTGGACTCAGCGCCAAAACCTGCGCGAAACCATCCTTCCGCACCTCAGTTTGCGTGGCTTGCGTCTTCATGGCATTACGGAACTTCTTTTCGACCACCAATACCTCGGGACTGGGTGGCGCCAGCACCTGTGTGGCACATGTCAAGACACCCATACCGGTCGGCATCATACCACCATGCGCCGTCGCTCCAGCACCACCGACACCAAGTGGTATATCATCCATATGTGTGAGAGGCCTGCCGGTTAACAAGGAAATCGGTTGTTCAGTTTGAATCTGAGCACCCAACTCGGCGCCACTAGCATAACCGGTCGGTACAAACTGATGTATGTGGATGGGTGGCCCGTGATGATGTTGATGTGAATGGCCATGTCCATGCGAGGGATGAATATGTGGCGCATGCTGATGTATGACGGCTTGTTGTGCATGTGGATGCATGGCGAGTGCGGGTGGCAACGTCGTTATATAATTGGTCGGCGGGTGTGGATGCTGTTGCTGCTGCTGTTGTTGCTGCTGATGTGTCATCTGCTGGTGTTGCTGTTGTGTATGCAAAACCGTCGGCTGTTGTGCCATATGCGCGGGCAGTTGCGTAGACTCGTAGATATTGCCGGTGGCAATGATCGGTTTCTTGCCGCCAATAAGACGTTCCTGACTGCGTGTGGTCTTCATGCGACCGGATGAGCGGAAACCCAAATTGACATCGTCGAAGGAGGTGAGTGTATGCGAGCGAGCGAAACTGACATGCTTAGTTCTGCAAATGAGAATGCGCAAGTAGCGCAAAAGCGTATGAGAGAGTATGAATGAAGTGTGTTAGGTGCGTGTGAAAAGAGAGAGAAATAGAGAGAGAGAGAGAGAAATAGTTAAGGAAAGTAGTTGTGAAAACTGATTTTTGACGTGTGGATGCAATAGTTAACGAGCTCGTTGTGTGCTAAGTAGTCGTTTTAAGTATGCACGATTGAGTTCATATAGTTTTTACGCCAATAACGGTAACGCTAATTGTTTGGTTTCACAATATCAGCTGTTTGCCTGACGTCACAATAGCAGTTGCTTGCAAGGCAGGGTCAAACTTTTGCTGGCAAACAGTCGCGCTCTAACTCAATTCTCTCTCATAGCAATGCTTTTGTGACGTCCCGAGAAGTTTTTGGAGAATTTTTTGCTTTCGTCTACTCAATCGTGTATTCTGCGTAACTGAGTAACTGTTTTGTAACGCTTAACTTTACCTCGGTGTTGTGCCGCCCATTTGTAGTTGCTGGCCGGCTGGCAGTCCGACATGGGTGGGATAGTGATACGAACTGCAATAAAATGGATCGAGCATTACTCACACACACACAGACGCATGCACACACGTATTTTTTTTTTTATTGTTTTCAGTTTTAATTAGCATATTTTTTTCGGCTCTAAACAATGTTTAATCCGTTCGGCGTTTATTCGTCATGCTTCGGTTTATTTTTATATTCGTATTTCTCTTTTATTGTTTTTGTTTTATTAATTTCTACATACCAAACATTTTCGAGTGGATGTGTGAAGTTTTGAAAATGATTCTGTGCGCAAAGTGCAAAACAGTTGGTCATATAAATATTCCGATATTGGTAATCAGTCGGTGTTAGCCAACAAGTCAGGCTTGCGCTGAAGAATTTTTGCAAGTTTTTTTTAGTTTTAATTTTTTTTTTACGAAAAAAACGATAATAATAAATAGAGGAATAGAGACAAGTATTTATTTATAACCTTTCATTTGCCAAGTACTTATAAATGGTAAATGTTGGTAAAGTCGAGCTTTAAGCACGAGCTTTATTTCAAGGCACAAAATCTATGGGTGATTGAATGGTTTAATCGGAAATATGTTCATAATAATTTTGTTTTGCATGTTTGTGCTCTTCGAATGGGTGCGCATGCGCAATGTAGAAAAGTTGTTAAAGAAATTATTTAGCGCTTTAATGAGAGCTTTTTGGCTGACTGCTTTTGTACGACAAGTTTGTAAAAAGTTGTGGAAAAATGCATGCAGCGTTCAAGCGGGGGTACATAACAGTCTACAGTTGCAGGGTTAATTGACTAAATTGTTTAAAGAGAAGTAGAAAGAGCGCGATAGTAATACAAGCTTTTGTAGAGTTATAAGAGAGAAAGAGAGAGTTAGACTTTAAAAAACGTTTCGGTATGAGTATGCATGACGACGGTGATGTCGAGTAGGCGCATGAAAAGCGACAAGTTGTAATAAGGGTTCCAAAAATACATAATACAATTCTTTTAAGCAGTAAGTAGAGAAAAATAAGCTCGCAAATAAAAAGCTTTCAGGGAAAATGAGAAATAATAATATAGAAAGCAATTTAGAAATGAGAGAAAAATTATTAATATGGATTTTGATCTCTACTTGGCACAGTTCACTAGAGAATTCTTTTCTTATCTCTAACCGTACTATATGCGAGCTTTTGAGGAGCTTTTTAACATGTAATAAGCTATATCTGAGCTGTCGAATATAAGTCAGTTTAATATTAACTAACTTCTAATGTAAATAAATACAGTCTATCAGATAATTCTTTTCCAATCTCTGACCCGACTGCTCACGAGCTTTTTGCGAGCTTTGTTTACATGAAATAAGTTATTAAATTGGCACACTTGAAAGCTACTTTCTAGTTGTTGTGACACTAGAGAACTCTTTTCCGATTTCTAACCGCACTATGGGCGAGCTTTTCGGGAGCTTTTTTACATGAAATAAGTTATTTATTTGGCTCACTTGAAAGCTACTTTCTAGCTGTTTTAACACTAGAGAACTCTTTTCCGATCTCTAACAGCACTATGCGCGATCTTTATGGCAGCTTTTTAACATGAAATAAGTTATTTATGAGCTTTCCAATATAAGTCAGTTGAACATAAACTAACATCGGGTGTACATTATCAATAGTTTCCTGAACAACAACTGATTTTGGGCAACTACATTACGATTTTATGAACAAAATTTAACGAATTACTTCTGTCAATAAAGCTTTTAAGATCTTATAAAGCATAAACGCTTGAAACCTAAATCAAAAGCTTTTAAAAAAGCTTTATAAAAGTTTAGTTTAAACTTTATCTCTAATAACTGCGTTCTAACCACTAAAGCTTAGCGAAGAAACTTGCTAACTATCCCTGAATCTTTTACAAAGATAAACTGTTCTTTAAACATAGGGTTTGATGCATCTGTAAGGAGATTATATATTGTAGCTTTCTGTAATATTTCTTTTATATTTCCATTCCAATTATTAATACCGAAGTTGAATAAAAAAATATATAGAGTCTCTTTCAGATATGCATTCTTTCTGCTCTAACCAAATTTGCAAATTAAACTCAAACTTCTAAGAAATAAAGTTACCAAAGTACCACACCCGGTTACGATATTCCAAAAATTCCAAAAACAAAAGCACAAAAGATACAGACAGCAAATGCAACAAAAAATTCGGCTAGCTACTGAAAACTGCGCAAAACAGGTTGAAGCTCATGCCCCATGTTTTTGGATGACCGGCCACAATGTTATAAAGTTTAGACTGAAGCAAAAGCTTGCAACAAATCTAACGATATATACCTTGGATCGTTGCTAAAGTTGACATTTTCGTTTCCAATGCCGCTCGGAGCGCCCATCCAGGAGTAGCGTTGATTCGGAGGCAAACCCATGCCTCCCACAGATGCGCCAGGGCCGACGCCAACGCCGACAGAGCTTGTGCCAGCGCCAACGCCGGTGTCTTGCGTTTTCGCAGTGCTCAATATTGAAGCTGGTTGACGTCGAAAATAGGAACTATCCATATCGGAATCGGGCGATTTGTCGTCGTGATTTTGAAAAGGTCGTTGATAGCTGTACGAAATGAAAAATCAAACTAAAAACTAGGTTCATTTTTCATTTTCTTTTGACTAACTTACCGCGGATATTTGTAGAAGGGCGCGTAAGCAGCTAAATTCTCATCGGAGGGCACACGCCGACCCACACAGCCGCCCAGAAACGATTGCTGCACACCGCTACGACGCGAGAGACAGCCGAAGAAGCGATCGCGACGCGGCCGCTCGATGCTATGCAGCTGACGATCAGTTAGGCAGTACTGTACTTAAGGACACAAAGACAACAACAATAAAAAATAAAAGTAACCAAATGCAAGTTTTGCAGCCGAAAGTGTGGAAGAAGAAGAAGAAGAAGAAGTAGCATACGAAAACGTAGAGGACAGCAGTACAAGAAAGTAAGACGAAGAACAGAAGAACAGAAAAAATAAAGAAGTGAAATAGAAAGAAAAGCATTTAACACGCTTGCCGCAGAGCATTCACCTGTTCGCGTATGTCGCCTTTGGAGTAAACGGATGGGCGCGGATACAGTTCTGTGGAGGAGGTGTGTCGCAAACGGCGTCGGCTCATATTCTCATCTTCGGAGTCGTAACTGCGATCGTAATGGCTAGAAGCCGCTGACGACTGCAACGACAAAAAAGCGAAAAGCGTGCAACATAATTAATGGCTTTCATGTGGCAACAACCGAACGAACGGTGCGGTGCCTACTTACCTTAGACGCCACCTCAATGGTGCCTAACGAAACTGCATGATGTAAACCTGCAAGTGGGCACAGAGTTAGACGGCAGGCAATTCGTGAGAAAAGTTCACATATGTGTGTATGTGTGTATAGGGTATATGTGGCATATGCATGTAATGGTGGCAAATGCTGAAAATAATTAGCAAGACGAAATTAGTTGCAAGTAAAGTGTGGAACCACGTTCGCTGCTCGGCGGCACTATGAGACAATGAGTGCAACGAACTTGTTGACCGGCGCGCAATGCGCAGGCGCACACCGCAATCGCAACTGGGGAAAATAAATGTGCTGACCGTTTAAATTTCAATTATTACCGATTAAATGGTTGTTAATGGGAAATATTGCTGCGACTAATGTGGCAAATGGCAAAGGGTGCAATTAAGTGAGCGGCTCTTACCAAATGTTGGCAGAGATCGCTTTGGTAGATAAAAGTAATTGAACGCTTTGGTCAGTGAAAGCTATAGTAATTCAGGAAGGTTCTCCTTTTAGTAAAAACTGAACCACTTATGAACAACTTGGCACATTTTACGTCTAGTTCTTAAATTGAGCATACAAAATACACCTCGTTCATGATCTAAAGCCGCTAGACCTTCCCAAAGACATCGCTTCGATCCACTTCCCATACATCGCCTTAATTAATAGCTTTATTGAGAGATAAACGCCTGTTCATTTATATACTTTCTATAAACATTTTATAGGGTACCCCGTTAAGTATTATGTTTGACGTTACGAAGCCTGGTTTATAGTCTCGTGAATTATCTTGAAAAATACCCGAACACTTGGTTCTGTCGAAAAGGTCTGCCTTTTATGTCTGAAATATTTTCTACTTCAACTCTCGCTAATTAAATATTTTCATCAGTTGTCGCCCAGTCTGTCATCTCAAAATATTTTCAATTCTACTTCGATATAAACATTTTCAGAGTGTTCTGGTCTTCAAACATGCTGACCGTTATCAAACCACACAAGCCTATAAATCTTTAGCTGACCTTGTCTACCCTAAAAGACCAAGTATTAAAATGACAGGGACGATATTCAATTAAATTGATATTCTGGTCACTGAGAGAGATTCTCTTCCAAATTACCATCCCTAATGTCGCGACTACATATGAAAGTGTTACCCTATGATGTTTTGAAGCTTAGTGTTGATCGCAAAAATTTCAAGATGGCTGTTCAAAGCTTTCTGCTTTAGAATATCGAGTCTAATGTATACATACGAGTTTTTATAACGTTTTATTAATGGTTTTGAGGCCATTTATGTTCTAATTGAGTCTTGAACTTAGGCTATGTTAAGTAAATAGGATGCTTGTTCATTTGATTGCCCAGAACTCTTATGTGAGGATCATAAAGACCATCGTACATCGCGTACATCGTAACGACAAATCGCCTAAAGTCAATTCTTAGGATTCGTAGAAAGAATGGCAACGGAGATAATTGAACCTTAGTCTGGCAGAAGCTGGATGGTGGAGAAAAAAATATCAAGATGCGTCCACTTCATTCCGCGTGAGTGACAAAGAGACAGTGCCTAATTTGAACGCCTATTGAGCTGCTGTGAGGCCTATAGATTCAGCGCACGGGTTTTGAGCTTAATAATACTATTTACTTCAAAGAGCACTTCCAGTTGAGGCACGCCATTTTGTGTAGATGTGCGTCTTTGTTATATAATAGCCTATATGTAGGCAACGTTTTTCTACTACTTTTTTGCTGAATGAAAAACTTGTTTAATTTTGTGTTCATTTCTGGACTGGGAACGTTTTGAGTTTCAACGATTAAATTGTGAAATAAAGATCTCTATTATCACTTTTAGCGCACTTACGATTGAGCTACGCTATGTATTTCAGGTGTGCGACTTGACTAAAAACCAGCCTAAATGTAGGCAACATTTGTATGAGAATTTTAGTTGCTGCTTGCCTTTACCGAAAAGAAAGGTAAATGAAAATGAGAACAAAAACAATAAAAACTACCAGTTTAACTAGAACATCATCGTATTTAGCACTTCCATTGCATAATTTCTATTTATTTACTTTTGTTTTGCCCCCATAATTTCTTTCGTTGTCCCAGCGTAGTTCACCTTCCACTTAGCTGTAATTTTTCAAATTGCCCAACCCACATATTTCAGTTATAAATGCGAAAATGTACATTTAATGAATGTGTTGAAGGTCTTTCTCAACTTTAACTTTTACTTTCTGCCACTTGCTGTTCACCTTGCTACCTTACAATTACGTACTTAACTACTTAAAGCTTACATATATTATGTTACACGCTCACCTGCACTTTCCTAGGCACAAAACAACAACAAAAAAGAAAAAAACAGAAAAACTTAAATGAATACAATTGCTGATTTGGCAACACCTACGCAGCAGTGAAAAGAAAAGAAAATAAAGAACACGCACACACACGGACTGTGAAGAGCACTCGTGTAAGGAGAAAGGCCAGAACACCTGCGTAAGCGTGCATAGTCAGCGACGGAGGATAATGAAAGTTAAGTAAGTAAAGTATAACTGTATATGTATTTTGTGTTTATTGCTTTGTATTCGCACAATTGCGACCGCGTACAGGACATGTCTTGCGTAAATAAAAATCTAAAGAAACGGATGGCGAATGGCGAAATTACATTTGTACCAACAACATGTACAAAAAAAAAAAAAAAAAAAAAAAAAACAAAAAAAAAAAAAAAATAAAAAAAAAAAAAAAAAAAAAAAAAAAAAAAAAAAAAGCATTAACCAGCATACAACTGACCTACCAGCTAACGTATATGATATGCTGCCACTGACGTTGCCACCCAACACAAAAAATCGGTCAAACGCAACATTCTCCGCAAATGAGAAATTCATAGGTGTTGTAAATGAGGCTTTCGGCGACAGTCCATGGAGGTGGCGCAACAAAAATTGAGGATTAAGTATGGCAAAGTATGAAAAAGTGGATGAGATGCTGCTGGTTGTACAAGCCAACTTCAGTGACAAGTGACAACGTACGCGAAATATTTTCTTTTCATGTGCTTCATTAGGGCGTGCAGGTCGAGTTGTTGCAGTGGGTTGCTTTGCAAAGTTGTTAAGGCTGTGTTACGAGCCTGTTCTGTTCTTAACTTAACCTCAAAGGTTTGTAAAATAATTCTAATTCTAATAATAGAAAGAATACTTCAGGAGTTATAAGGTTTTTCTAACTTCTTTCAGATATCTATATTTTATACTTTTTTCATGGGAAAATAGTATTGAACCACCAACAAACGAAAACGAAGCTGCCTTATTGTCAAAAAAAAAATTTTAATATATAAAAAAATCTAAAAAATAACGGTAATTGGATTTAGGCAATTTTCGATATTTTTTTCGAAATTAGCAAAATGTTTTCAAAACTACATTAAGCATAAGATCTGTTAAGTGTATTAAGTTTGAAAACTTTGTGATTGTAGAGTAAGATTAGAAAGAATTTTTTTAATCATGTCAAAAAGTTTTTTAATTCTTTGACAAAAAAAAATTGTATTTATAATTCTTAATAAAAAAATATTAGAAATTTGTTTTTGAAAATTGGATTTCGATATTTTCAGAAACACTTGTGTTAATACGAAAAGTTAAATTTAAAAAGACATGCTTCTCTAAAGCATGGGCTTCGAAAATGGACCATGCTAACCTCAAAAAATTTAAAGTTTTAGCTAATTTGTCTAATTTTTTATACCTTCAACATAAATTAAAAATTTTGGAATTATGAATCAAGTAAAAACTCAAGTTTTTGAAAAAAAATTATTTTTTAAATAAAAAAAATTTGAAAAAAGAGATTAAGAAAGCTTTTATTTATGGAAAAAAAATTAAAATTAATTTTCGAAAATCAGATTTTAAGATTTTCGGAAACAGAGTTAATACGTAAAGTTTAATTCTGAAGAAGCGTTTTTTTTTTGTGAGAATGGTTTCTAAAGCTCTGAAAAGTTCAAAATTAATGAATTTTTTATATCTTTCATATAGATTCAAATTTTTGGATTTATTAATGGATTAATTTTTGGATCTATTTTCGAGTTCTTCGGAGTAAATATAATTCTTAAGAATTACAAAAAAATCGATTAGCATAGAAAGTTTTTTTCACAGAGTTTAATTTGAATTTGTTTTTGAAAATTAGACTTGGAAAATTTCGATAACATTTCAGATAAGAAAAAATGTGAAATCATGAAACAATATTTCCCTAAAGATTTAGTTTTGTTAAGAGATTCTGCAAAGTTCAAAATATTAGCATTTTCATTACTGATTTGAATAATTTTTCATATAGATTCAAATTTTTGCATCTATTAATCAACTAATTTTAGGTATTACTTTCCAGGTTTCGAAAGTAAAACATATTTTTAAGATCAAAAAAATCAGTTTTTAAAAAATCGCTTAGCATAAGAATTAAGCATTCATTCATCGAATTTAATCTGAAATTAGTTTTCGAAAGTTCGAAAATTTGATTTTGAAATTTTCGAAAACACTTGTGATAATAAGTAATAAATCTCAAATACTGAAGTAATATATCTTTTTTATTATTTTTTCACACAAATGCACTCATTTTGAAATAATTAAAAATTCGACTTTTCGAAGTAAAAATATTCTCTAAAATCGAAAAAAAAATCGATCAAATCGCATTACTGAACACTCCAATAACGTACTCACCATTGGGTCGCATCGCCACAGCCATTCTTTTCGGCGCCCAAACTGCTCACTGCTTCCACTGGCTGGCTGCCGCTGCCCGTCCCTGCTAATCCAGAGCTGGTGTGGCGACTGCGACGTGAGTTCACCTCTAGAATATGTTACAACTGTAGTTGACGCTCATGCGTTGCCGGTGGACCATATATATAGCCTCAAATATCTCCCACTCTATACAAATGCGTGGATTGTGTACACGAGCATACTGCGCTGGGCAATTTATTTAACGTTGCGCAAGGACTGCCGCGTCACTGTTGACGCCACCACTGTACGCGACGAGCATCCGCCAGGTCAGGCGGAGCAGCTCGCTTGCCTACCGACGCGCTCAAATGCGTCTGACCTAGTCGCCGTTGCCTATGTTGCTTGCTGCCAAGTTGTTTTGTTGCTTTAGTTTTTGTGTTGCTTTTCCCGTTTGCAAATGTCAAAAATGTGTCGCTTAGTCGGTTGGCAAATTTAATATTTGATGATCATAAATCTTCTTGGCTTCTGCTTTCAACTTATTTTTGTTTTGATTTTTTTTTTCTGCTTTTGCTTTCTATTATTGTTTGGAAGTATTAGTGTGAGCAACTCCTGCGTGTTTACTATTATTTTGTGTGCGTGTATGTGTGTGTGTGCTCTTTAAGAATTCCGTTGTATGACTGGTGTATGCTTTCGGTTGTGATTGCTATTGTTGTTGTTTTTGTTGGCAGTTACATATACATTTAGTTTAATAGATTAGGTAATTTGGTGTTGTTGTTGCCATCAATTGACGTCGACTTGCTGTGGCGAGTGTTCAATTTTCATAAACATGTGCACGGTTTTATAATCCTTGTTATTGTTGTTGGTGTTGTTATGGTCGATTGTTGTTGCCGAAGTTGAATTTTTTTGAATTGTTGTTGTTGTTTTCGTTAATATAATTATTTCTTTTTTTTCAATTTTACATATTATTTGACAAGCTTATCAATTTCATACATTAAAATGGTATTAATTTGTTGTTGCTGTCTGTTTTTGGCAGAAATTCTTATTTCCCCGTCACTGCAAAAGTTAGACCAGCGCTCTCAAGCTTCTAATCACATTTTCTTAAGGTTTGTCACTCACTCTCCGAGAAAGTTAAATTTTGAAGAGTTCTGCCAATTTTCTTCCTTTTGTTTTTATGGTTTTTTTTATTTTTTGTCTCTGATTGTTTGCTCTCATTTTATTCTTGGATTTTGCTTATTTTCATTGTTTATAATTTTCTTCTTTGAGGACACTTTTAGTCTCGCTTTTACATTTGTGACCTTGACATTGACTCAAATATAATTTTTACAGATTTCCCCAAATGTTTTTTTTTTCTTAATTTTTTTACTCTTGCAACATGTTGCTACAGACTACCATAAAAAAAACGCATGATTCTATTAGAAGTATTTTTTCAATAGCAATTTTTGGACAGATCTCGCGTTAGTCGTGTCAGTCTGTCATGATCTTTTTGTTGAGCATTGCTTGGCATTTCATCATGGAAAGACCTATGCTCGAATAACGTTTATAAATCGTTCAACTTTATTTACGAAAATTCACGTTCTGTAAAGAATGTGTTTCCCCCGCTTGGCTCAACTGATGCTCAACGAATGAAACTTAAACGGAACGGCTTTTACAAGCGAAATCGCTTCGCTCTATGGACTCTTTAAATGTTGCAAGAAGATCTGACGTTTTCGAGACAAAATTTCTTTCAGTATAAACCTTGAAATTTCTGATTCAATGAGTATGTAAACAAGCAAAATTGCCGCACTTGCCGCACTAGAGCAACCTGAAGAGATTCAAGAGATGCACTTCCCACTCATCGCAAAAATCAATGGATTTATTTAGATAACACTTCTGTGAGCAGATAATATCACGGTTAGTGTTGGTCGACTGGTCGCCATGATCGTGTGATATCACACCGATAGACTTTTTTCTGCGACGATAATTAAAGACAAAAGTGTATGCGGACAATCCCGTTTCGATTGAGGCATTGGAGCAAAACATCGCCTTCGCTGTGTCATTCGCCAGTTACTAATCGAAATGCTTGAACGAGTCAACGAGAATTGGACTCAACAGATGGACCATCTGATACGTAGCCGCGTAAATGCCAAAGAATGTTCTTTTGAGTGGTAATGGGTATTTTGTTTTCTATCCTTAGATTTTATTTGTTCCACTTACAAGTAGCTTAGTTAGTCTGATGCGTATGTCGTCCAACCGTGTGATCATCACTAATTTCCGTAAGCACATTCTTCATTTAAAAACTCTTCCATAATTTTACTTTTATTATTATAAATAACTTAAATTAAAACCTGCTATAATTGATGCTGCAAAAATGTGATGAGATTAAAAAATTTAAGAAAAAAAAATAATTATATTAAGCATTCATAGATGTTTATTACACCCGGAGGGAAACGTTGGATATTCTAAAAAGTAGACACAATATAGCCTACGATCTAGCTATGAACGTCAGTTCTTCCATCTGTGTATGGTATGAAATTTGTCACTAAGCTTTTGAGATATCGACCTGAAAATTTGTACACATTCTTCTTTCACTAAGAAGCTCCTTATTTGTCAGAGTCTTTGATATCGAACAACTATAGCAAATAGCTGTCATATAAACTAAGCGTTCGAACTCAAGTTCTTGCATGAAAAACTTTTTTAATTCACAAGATATCTTCACGAAATTTTACATGAGTTAGTGCCCAAGGCAATCGTGTAAACTGCGAAGAAATTGTTCAGATTGGACATCGATTGCGTACAGCTGTCATACAAACTGAACGATCGGAATCAAGTGATTGTATGAAAAACTTTTTTATTTGACAAGATGTCTTCACGAAATTTGGTATAGATTATTTCCTAAAACAACAATGTAATCTCTGAAGAAATTGTTCAGATCGGTTAACTAAAGCATATAGCTGCCATACAAGCTGAATGATCGGAATCAGGGCTTGTATGGAAAACTTCCTCATTTGACGATATATCTTCACGAAATTTCGTATAAGTTATTGTTCATAGAAATGATATAATATTGGAAGAAATTGTTCAGATCGGCTCACTACAGCATATAGCTGTCATACAAATCGAACGATCGGAATCAAGTAATTGTATGAAAAACTTTTTTATTTGACAAGATATTTTTACAAAACTCGTTGTAAGACTACAATCTTAGACTTCGCTGTAATTTCCCACATATTGCTCAGATTGGGCCACTATAGCATATAGCTGCCATACAAACTGATTAATCAAAAGCAAGTTCTGACATATAAAAATTTCTTATTTGAAAAAGAAAAAAATCTTATTATACCCTTTTATGCTATAAAATATGCAGCTGTGAAGGTTTCGTCAAACTTAATATTTTTTCTTGTTTTTGAAGGACATACATATGTACATACTCGTATATTTAAAATTTGCTAACTTGCAACATTTTTTCTCAGCCTTCAGCCACTTGCTTCAACAGAATTCTAAAAATTGCTTCTAAATTTTAAAAATTTCACTGCTCCTACTTTTCTTTACTGCCACATACATAGAAAGCTGTTATTTTCACTTTTTATTTATTTTTCCTTAATGCTGCACCCATTCCACCTTGAAATTATGCTTTCATTTCATTAAGTCCTTCAATGCCGTTTCAGCTGTTTTCGCAACACTCGTCAATCCTCAGTTTTCCATGCTACTCGGCTGCGTACGCGACTGCTCCTTGTTGTTGATTATATTTTGCCACTTTCCATTTTTGTTATTGTTGCCGTAATTTGCAGCTTAGCATTCGCCAAGATGTGTCTTTATATTTTTTTAAATGTTTGTTGATGTTGCAATTTTACATTYTATGTTTGTTGTTGTTGCTTTTATTGTTTGCTGCTGCTGCTGCTACGATTTTCTGCTGATTTGCAAATCTGTGAAAATTCAGCAACACAGCATTTAAATCAATTCTTCTGTCCCTGCTTCACTGCAGCGCTTGAAGCGCGTTTCGCCAAATATTTGTACATGCACATACATACATATGTACATATGTATGTGTATATACATATGTGTATACATTTCGATAGTCAGCAGCGATAAACTTTTATACAATTCTATTTCGGTTTATATGTGTATGTGTGTGTGGCGGAAGCTGCACTGACGCTGGTCTGCTTACTTGTGCGTATGTATGTGTTTTTGTATGCGTGTAACTGTGTCTATCGCCAGCACACGCTCGCTAAACTGGACTTATGCAAGGCCACCAATCGATATTCTTGGCCACAGCAAGGAAAAAACGCCAACAACAACAACGCAAACACATCGAATCCGTTTGCTGTGGGACGTGTGGAGTTGCTACAACAATACAACAACAAAAGCAATCATAATTCGGAAATTGAAAAATTAGCAATTTTCGATTTCACTTTTTTCCATTTTGCATTGCGTTTTGCCACTTTCGTTCACCCGCACACACTTCGCACAACTTACACTGAAGTCACCGTGCACCTAAAAGTATGCTACGTTTTGTATACGTGTATGCGACGGCTTGAAGTTAGCAGTTTTTCACTGTGTTTCGCACTTTCAGCAACATTTTCACGACACTTTTTCACCGTTACGTTGATATTTTGCAAATTTTTCGAGTTTTGTTTAGCGATTTTTTTACCGTTTTCATGTCTGTGTATGTGTATTTACTTGGTTTTCGCGTTTATCAGCTAAATGTATTTGCATATGATGCGTGTATGTATGCGCTTGAGTGTGCATATATGAGTATGTGTGTGTGTGTGAAAATTATTTTATACAAAAGTCAATACGCCCTTGTGAGGGGCAAGGAAACGCAGGCGCGCGCTTAGTTGATAGTAGTCAGAACTGCACTGGATGACGGTGATGCTGGAACTGAAAGAAAAGCAAGTCGCTTTCATTCACAGCCGAGGCGAGCAGCAGACTCGACGATGCACACACACACGCGCGCACGCATGCTTGGCATCCTGTGTCCATAAATAGCAGCGCCGCGGCAGAGTTGAAACATTTCGCAGACAGAGTTCATCGGCCAGCGCACAAAGAGCGTAA